TCGCAGCCAGGCACGAGTTAAGCCCCCGCTCGGTCACCGCCGACACGGCGCGGGGGGAACGCTGGCAACGCCCGCGCGGGAGCTGCCCCTTTCCCTGCGGGCCCGGCGGCCTCACCTGGAGAAGAGCCGGACGGCGGCGGCCCCGGGCTGCAGCCGGACGAGCCACAGCCCCCGCAGCGCCATGGCTAGGGGCGGGGCAGGGGGCAGGGCGAGGCCCGTTTCCGGCGCTGTCAGCGGGCAGGGGGCGGGGCGAGGCCCGTTTCCGGCGCTGTCAGCGGGCGGGGGGCGGAGTGAGGTTCGTTTCCGGCGCTGTCAGCTGGAGAGGGGCGGGGTGGGGTCCGGGCGCGGCTGCGTGAGGAGTGGGCGCCGCCATGGCCGCCACGGCCGAGCTTTTCGAGGTGGGGCCGCGCGGTCTCCAGAAATACCCCGCTGTCGGTTGTGGGGCCAGGACGGGACTGGGCCCGGGCAGGGGCAGAGCCGGCTAGGCCCGGGGATTGGCGAGGGCCAGGAGGGCAGTCCTGCAGGGTCCTGCTCAGGCCTAGTCGTTCCCTTCGAGGGGAACAACGACAAGCCTCCCTTAGAGGCGGTGGGGAGAGGAGTAGCTCGTCTGCTGGGACGAAAGAAAAGCCCACGGGGGTGAGGGCGAGGGGGTCAAAGTGTGACCCCCCCCTCGAGGTGTGGGATGCCGAGCAGAGCACAGCAGACAGCGCCCACCGGACCTCGGACAGGCCCAAGGAGCCCCTGGACACAGCCCGGAGATGGCCCTTTTTAGGCTATGTCACACATGTCCAATGTGTCCTCGTGTCAAACGGTTAACGACTGTGGTGGTCAGCAGTTCACTAGCGTGATTCATACCATGTGATGTGTTACGGTTGTCAGTAACGAGCTAACGTGGCGAACTGGCACGGTGCTTGGTGGCTAAAGGCATAGTGACGATACCAGGAGGTTTACAGTTTTACTAGCACTGTGTTTCAGTGCAGATGTTTAAGTCTGTGAAATGGGGGGACGTGGGAAATCCAGTATTGCGATAGTACGTAAGTTTAAACATTTGCAGTTGAACGTGCATACTGGTGGTCTATAGTTTTGGTTTGCAGTAAAAATAATGATGTAGCAATTTTAGGAGCGACTGTAAGAAGGCTAGAAAGTGGAAGAGTGAAAGGAAATGCCTTTCTTTACGTGTTGGTCCAGATTTCGCACGTCATCAATTTCCCCCACCTGTGTTTCTTTCACCAAGAACCAAAGATAATAAATATAGTTGTAATACTACAGAAATTGCCAAGGAGGCTCAAGGACTGGTGTGGTACATCATTGCTCTTTTAACTGACGTGGGAAAATGTGACTAGATTTTTAGGGGGATACCCATTTCAAGTATTACTTTTGTGAACAGCCTCCCATGTACAATAATGAACAATATGGTGTACAATATGATATCACTGAGTCAAATAAATGTGTAACAGGGAGGGTTGTAGGCTTATAACAAGTGCTGCGGAGGGGGACACTAAGCAGTGCACACCGGAGAGTGCCTGCTGGCCCTTGAATGAGGCCAAGGAGCCAGTGAACACTGCCCAGTTAAACTGCCTGGAGACATGATCCAGTGAGTACAGGATAACAGCCCCGTGTGTCCTCCCACCAGATCCTCCTTCTGGGGCAGATAGATGGCCAGCTTGGCTAGCACCAGGAGGAGGTTGACCAGGTCTTGGTGCTTGAGGGGGCTGTGGATGGAGAGTGGATAAACAAAAAGGCACAGGGAGTCATGCAGCAGAGGAGATGGTGAAGGGGTTGAGCCCAGGAAGGGTCAGATTGGTATGGACTGGAGGGTTTTGCCTTCCTCAGCAGGGACATGCCTCTTCTTGAGTGCGCCTTAACAACCCTTGTGGTAGCAGGACACTGATGGCCTTGTCCCCCTGCTTTGCCTGTGGCTGGTGCAGGTGTTTTTTGGGCAATATGCCTTGTAGTTGGGCAGCAGGGTTGATTTTAGTTTTAGGAACAGGTTAGAAAAGGATTTGGATGGCAAGACTTGGATAGGGATGATCCTACCTCAGGCAGGGGGTTGCACTCGAGTTTTGGAGGTCCCTTCTCCCACCCTCCTTTATTATGATTCAGTGAAACGGTATAGCACAGCAAAAGAGATCTGATGCAGACTGGACTCTTTGGATGCTGCTACAATGCTAATATTTTATTTTTTCACATGTTTCCTTAAGGGACACCTACAGGCCTCCTAACCATAGTGGTTGAGCACCTCACAATCTTTAACTTGGTTATCTTCACAGTGTCACTCTGCAATAGGGAAGTATCGTTATCCCCATTTTAATAGATACAAAACCAGTGCGTAGAAAAGCTTAGTGACGTGCTCAGGGTAATGCAGTAAGTCTATAGTAGAGCAGGAAATCAAACCTAGGTGTCCAGTTTTCACTACTGCTGTAACCATTGAACCAATAAAGAAATAGTATGTAATTCACCTTATTTTGCTATTGCATGGACATGAACTAACATCAGCAGATGCAAATGTTGCTGTACTCACTGGTAGTCCACAGAAATAGTCAATCTGTTGTTTGACTCTAAGGTCCTATCAGTATTATTTAGTTTAAATATATTTGTAAATCCTTATTGTTTTGTGTCCATGTTATAACATTGGTTTTATAACATAGGTTTAATACTAACATAGGGTTTTTTTGCCTGTGAGACTTAAAAAAAAAAAAAAAAAGCAGTATTAAAAACAGCTCAGTAACTGCTTTCATGTTAGAGCTGTTAAAGAGCCATATTTTGGCTCCCCTCATAGTCCATAGTTGTGCCTGGAGTAAATGGTTGTCCCTCAGTGTGGTGACAGTAAGGATCTATTTTGTAGGGTGGTTTGGCCACTAACTTAGGAATTATCTTAATGCTTTGAGTAAGAATAAGACAGGTCAGTCTGGCATTTTCTACACAGCACCGCAGGTGTTGTCTACACTACAAAGTGCAGTTGGTTGTTACGTGACCCTATGGGGATGTAGTTGGAAATCGTAGTGGAGTTAAGGCCTTTAGACTACATCCCAGGATTGAAACACTTGTTAAAATACAATCTCTCTCTCTGTCTTTTTTGTTCGTGAAGGCAAAAAAGTTATATTGGAATTTATTACATAAATGATTGCTGGAGAAAACCCAGAAACAACTTAAGGCTTGGTAACAGAAAAATTGTTGTGATGAATGTAGGTGGAGGAAGATGATTTATTGCTAGGTTTGAGGGGGGAGCTACGTTTAACACCTGCTTTCTGTTTGATTATGTGCATTGTGTTGGGCAGGATGACATAGAAATTGATATACCAGGTATGTCTTACAGATTCCATTCATTCTGAGAAAACAGATTTCAGCAATGGTTATACGAGTGGGTTTTAATGCGAATTGCTCAGTTTAGCCATTTACATGATGAGCCAGACCCAAGGACATTATTACCTGCTTCAGCTGTATCTCATTAAAATATGGTTTTGATTGAATAGATAGGGTCAAATTTATTCCTCTACTTTTGGAGGGAGGGAAGTTCAAAGGCATACAAAAAACCACTATTAGAGCTCATTTAAAAACACTGAAGGAGATTAGGTGTTTAAAAATTACTTTTCCAATAACTTGTTTTCAGCAATGTTTGCAGTACTGTAAAGTAAATTTAAATGCAAATGTTTAAGTCTGTTAAATGGGGAAGACTGCAAATAAATTATTGCAATAGTACATAAGGTTAAAAATTTGCAGTTGAACATACAAATTTGTGGTCTGTGGTTTAGGTTTGCATTATCAGTACAGTAAAATAATGATGTAGCAATTTTAGGAGCTATAGTAAGAATGCTAGAACTGGAAGAGTGAGAGAAAATGCCTGTTACTTTACGTGTTGGTCAATATTTTGCACATAATTTCTCCTGCATGTGTTTCTTTCACAAAGAACCAAGTAGAGGGAAATGTAGTTGTAATACTACAGCAATTGTCAAGGAGATTCAAGGACTGGTCTAGTACATCGTTGCTCTTTTAACTGACTTGGGAAAATCTGATTAGATTTTTAGGGTGATACCATTTAAAATATTACTCGTGAAAACAGCCTTCCATGTGCAATAATGAACCTGAAGTCATTTGATAGTGTTTGTGGTCATGAATCATATATGCTCTATACCAGGGCGGCTCAGCCCCTGGCCCGTGGGCCAGATGTGGCCTGGGGCACTGTGTCATCTGGATCATGGGGCTCCCCAGAGGTCCAGAAATTTGGTGACGGGGGGGGCTTGCTTCCAAATGTCCTGTCCTGTTGAGAGCCCTTGGACCTGTGGACTGACCAATACCAGCGTGCAAAGCCAGGCAGCGGTGATGCTGGGCCCCAGGGACCAGTCCCTGTGTGGAGAGCTGGGAGAAGGGCTCAATCCTGGCAAGATGGGGGTGGTGCCAGCCCCCCCAGGACCCAATCCTAGTGGGAGGGGGTCTTCCCAGGGCCCAGTTCTGGAATGTAGGTGAGGGAGGGAGCGGTGCCGGGGCTCCTGGGGACCAGTCCCAGTAGGAGGAGGTGGTGTTAGGCCCTCCCAGGGCCAAGGCCCAGTCCCAGTGCAGAGGGCTGGGAGGCCATGGTGCCTGGCTCTAGAATCTGATCCTGGCGTGCAGGGCTCATCCGGTTGCTGACTGGCTCTAGGTTGCTTCTTTGGCGTGTGTACCCAAAAGGTTGAGCACCACTGCTCTATATTGGTGTTTATTATACACTGAAATACTCTTGGCGGGACAGATGTACTGAAGCCCAGGTATGCTGCAGTGAAACTGTAGCATTTACATTTTGTGCTTATGTGTCCGGCCACACACATTCTGTACAAATAGCTTGTTTTAACAAAGTAGCCTCCAGGCATATGGCTAGAAAAACCTTTAAAATGATTTGTCTGTCTTGTTTAGATTTCAAGAGTTATTAAGAAAGGAGCTGCTTCTCTTGTGCACTGCCGAGTTAGTCAGTGCTTAACAAGTAGTATACACGTTCGATGTGAACAGTTCCATGAACACACCTTTATTCATATTATTCTAACTTTTTTTTTAAATCCTTATTTTTTCAAACACTAAATATTATAAGCTAATAAATTTATGAAGGGAATGATTAATGCTGAGGGACACACAGAAGTGGTAGGATGAATTAAATAAACTGTCTGTTCCAACCTGATCACTTTGCATATGCTGGCTGAAAGTCACATTGCAAAGTCATTATACTAAAATGAAAAG